CTAAAACGATTTAAAAAAAGGCAGTCACCTAGATACTCTTTCCAATTAAATAATTAAAACAATAATAAAAAATTAATTACATCTGCTGTTAACAATTTTAACATGGTTCAATTATCCAATTGACTAAAGTTTCGTAAGTTTGGTGCAACACAGTCGAAGTTATCAGTAAGCATTCATTCTTGATTGTTATTTTAAAAATGTAACAAAACATTTTACATACCTCTAATAAGCGATTGTTTAAAATTTTATTGAAAAGGAGGTAATGTTGTAATAAAATTAATTAATCAAGAAATATTTGGAATGACAGAAGTTAACACAATGAATTGAGATTATATTTTTATATTTTCGTGATTACGAATCGTCAGCTTAATCGTTTTCGAACATTCTGGTCCGCCTATGTTCGCTGTTTTCGTCTGCCAGATGCGTTTCGGAGGTTCTTCATTTTACCCCTTGCCTTGAATATTTACATTTTTTTTTTCAATTTCACCATGTTTCTCTGCCAGTTTGGTCATTCTATTCTCGCTTTTGAGTAAAAATCCTAACAAAACATAGTCAGTAGCGATCCCGTTTCTCGTCATCTTTAGTTTGTTTTGACTGATTATTGGTCAGGCTGGCCGGAAAGAACGAGGCTGCGTAAAAAGTTGTCAAATTTTGTCTTGCAGTTTTGACTGTCAGTCGCTAAAAATGAATAAATATCACACCCCAACTACTGAAGATCAAACCGCGCGTCTGACTGGGCAAAAAACCGATGCTCGACAGAACAAAAATTATTGGAAAGGACCTAGCATAAAACACAGTCGAGTTTCTTCTTGATTTCTGGTCTGGCTGTTTTAATCTGTTAAATGCTAAAAAAACAAAACAAAGCCAACTGGCCTAAAACCCAAGGTTAGGCATGCCAAAAATGACCAGAAACAACGTGAATAAAAAATTAAATTTCTTGTAGAAGTTTGATTGTGTTTGTTAGTCATCAAACAATACTCTCCCAATAATGACTAAGATGTATCAAAGACTGTAAAACTTCTTGAGGTTTGATTCTTTCTTTAGTGGGCCAGTCGCTCAAAAATAACAGCCAAGTACTGAAGATGACGTGAAGCAGAAACACGTCTGACCGACAAAAAAATCCAGAATAGGAAAAACAAAAATGATCGGAAACGACCAAGTTGCAATTATACATAATTGTCATTCATTATTGAGATTCATTTCTGAGATCTAATCTGCCTGTTGTAATATATCATAGGGCATAAAATAATACTCAGTCTAACTAGTGAAGGTGGCGAGATGCCAAACCGAGTCTGAATAACCGAAAAACCAATCAAAGTCCGACCAAAAAAATGCTCCGACAGACGAAACTGCATAAAAAGCTGAAAACATTTCTTCTTAAAATCTGGTTCTTGTAAAAAAAACAGTCAGTCCATCTTCTGAAGATGACGTGAAGCCGTAACTCGCTAGACTGGCATAAAAACCGATGATAGGCAGACCAAAAATGATCAGAAACGACCAAGCTGTATCCAACACTGTACAATTTCTTATCGAGGTTTTGTTCGCTTTAGTCTGCCAGTCGCGAAAAATAACACAGCCCAATTACTGAAGATGACGTGAAGCCGTAACTCGTCAGGCTGACATAAAAACCGATGATGGGCAGACCAAAAATGATGAGAAACGACCAAGCTGTATCCAACACTGTAAAATTTCTAATTGAAGTTTTGTCCTCTTTAGTCTGCCAGTCGCGAAAAATAACACAGCCCAAATACTGAAGATGACGTGAAGCCGTAACTCGTCAGGCTGACATAAAAACCGATGATGAGAAGACCAAAAATGATGAGAAACGACCAAGCTGTTTCCAACACTGTAAAATTTCTTATTGAGGTTTTGTTGTTGCCTTTGTCCGCCAGACGCCCAAAAATAAAATAACACTGCCTAATTACTGAAGATGACGTGAAGCCGTAACTCGCTAGATGACATAAAAACCGATGATAGGCAGACCAAAAATGACCGGAAACGACCAAGCTGTATCACAGATTAACATTTCTTATTGAGGTTTTGATCTCTAGTCTGACAGACGACCAAAAATAACACAGCCCAATTAATGAAGTTGACGTTAAGCCGTAACGCGACATACTGATCTAAAAACTGATGATCGGAAACGACCAAGCTGAATCACACTCTAACATTCCATATTGAGATTTTGATCTCCCTTTAGTCTGCCAGTCGCCCAAGAATAACACAGCCCTTCTACTGAAGATGACGTGAAGCCAAAATGCGTCAGAACTAAAACTATGGTGAAAAATGATAGGAAGGACCAAAGTACATGTCCAATAAACCGCTAAAGCCCAAGAAGATATGTCACTTTTTGATGTTTGTCTATCACAGCGATGATGAATTTATATATTTTTCTTTTTTAAAGAAGAAGATTGGTTAGAGCAGCTGAGAAAGTAATATCCTCGGTTTCTGCCCCTTATTTTATTACTTGGCGTTGTAATTCGAGGATGTATTTAGGTCGAGGATTTATTTATTCACGCCTTTTCTTCACGGCCGATCAACATCGGCTCATATTCAGCAGAACTTGTACATTGTGAAATGACTGCGGGTGGTGTACGGGTCGATGAACTGTTCATAGCATTTTGATTAAAACCCGACTTCTCTCGGCTCCCTGATTTCGTCCATTTCGACGGCCGTTGTTCGCCTCGCTTCACGCAGTTTCCGTTAGAAAGTAAAATTACCCCCTCACTGGAATATAAGAACGATATGCGAACACTCCGAAATTTTGAAACGCACTGACAAACTCATTAACTTTTCAATTAATTCACAGACACACACAACTTTCACACTGTTAACAAAGTTACAAAACAGAAAATGTAAAACGAACAAATGGTGTCCTAATAACAATAAACCAACGAAAGTCTTGACACATAAGCGACAAACGTTCCCAATACCAAAATCTGCCTTGGAAGAGTCAAAACATAAAAAAAAGTTTCATTATTTATGGCAAAATTATGATTCGATTGGAATTATAGGGCAAAACAGTCCTTTATCGGCTGCGTTTATTATAAAGTCTACAGACATGAAAGGAGCATTGAAAAATATCTATAAACAGAAAGCAAAGGGGGTGGACTAAGAAAGAAGTAAAGATTGCTGAAAGACAAGAAGCATTTAAAGTCTCAATAAAGTCCTTTTAAAGAAAAAAAAATCTTTATATAAGAGCGACTGTATATCGACGGACAAATGAGGGAGATACTCAAGCATGTTTCCAATTAAAAAGAAGAAAAAGTTTGGGACTTAACCATGCGCAACCAGGATTTAAGCTCAGTTCGGATTCAATGAACGGAATCTTGAATGTTTAGCTTTTCTTCTTTTCCTTCAATAAACTCTCACCAGTTGTGCAGAGATTCTAGTCTTTTGTAAGTTTGGACGTTCCTGATCTTCTGGCCTGCCAGAAGCTTCTCGGCACTTTGCCATCTTTAGTAGTGTGTTTAGATTTATGCCAAGTATCATAAATTGACACAATAACCGACGATAAGCAGAACAAAAATGATCGAAAACGGCCAAGCTGCATGGTTAATTAAGAGATTTATTCATGAAGTCCTAGATGGCGAGAAGTCTATGAAATGGAAATGAAAAAATGTAAAATTTATTTTTAAGGCTTGGTCTGCCTGTTGTCATCTGTCTTTTACAAGGAGTACATAATAACACTCGGCCCAACCATTGAAGATGGCGTGAAGCCGAAACGAGTCTGAATAACCGAAAAACCAAGGAAAGACCAAAAAATGTTGCGACAGACCAACTTGCATAAAAACTGTAACATTTCTTCTTGAGGCCTGGTTCTTACGAAAATAACGCTCAACCCACCTACTGAAGATGATGTGAAGCCGTAACTCGTCAGACTGGCATAAAACGGATGATAGGCAGTCCATAAATGATCAGAAACGACCAAGCTGTATCAAAGGCTGTAAAGTTTCTTATTGAAGTTTAACCCGCCAGTGCCCAACCTGTTTACGTTTAGTTTAGCCCAACTGTCTGTCAGATGCGTTTCGAAGTTTTCCATTTTACCTTTTTTTTTTTTTTTTGAAAAATATTCACCCTGTTTCTTTGTCATTTTTGTTAGTCTATTCTCGCTGTTTGAGTAAAAATCCTAACTGAAAATACTCAGTGAGACGCGTTTTGGCTTTTCGTTATCTTCAGTTTGTTTTGGCTGTTTATTGGGCTGGTTGGTCGGAAATGACGATGCTGCGTAAAACTTGTCAAATTTCTTCTTGCAGTTTAGCTGTTTTTCTCTGTCAGACGATAAAAAACGTATAAATATCGCAACTCAACTGCTGAAGATTGTGAGACCGAAGCGTGCGTCTGACTGGCCAGAAACTGATACTAGACGAAACAAAAATTATGGGAAAGGACCTAGCATAAAACACAGTCAAATTTCTCCGTGAGGTCTAGTGTGGCTGTTTTGATCTGCCAGATGCTAAAAAATAACAATCAGCCAAACCAAATGAAGATTGCGTGAAGCAGAAAAACGCCTGACTGACAGAAAAACCCTTCAATTCATTTCTTTGTGTCATCTATCTATCATAGGTCATAAAATAACACTCAGACTAACTACTGAAAATGACGTAAAGTCGAAACGGGTCTTTAACCGAAATGTCAAAAATAGATAGACGACAAATCATCACAGATAAACAACTCTGCCAACTGACAAAAGGTCACTGTTGACATATGCCTCTGAATGGGTGCAATCCCGCACTCGTCTGACAGACCAAAACGAAAATCATCAAACTTTAGGGTTCCTAAAGAAATATTACAATTCTTTCAACTTTTAAACTTGAGTATTACTTTTTTTGTTAAGTGTGTGAAAGGAATATCTATCGTAATAATCAAGACAATCAGATAATCATGATCAGAAAACTTTCAGCTGGTAGGACTTACAGGTTTCAAATTGAAACTTCCTGCATCTAACCGTATAAATTTTATCAAGTTATTAACCTTTTTGTTGTATTTTTATGTTCCAGGTGTGGGTATGGAGGGGGGCCGGGACGTGATGCCACTGCTGGAAGAGCGGGTAGCAGTGGTGACCGGAGGAAGAGACCGGAGAGGCGGCCCACTCCTTACCTTCCCCACGTCCGCCCGGAGGGACCGGCTCAAGCCCGACGACTACCGGAGGCTCATCCACTACCTCATCAACATACCTCCGTGAGTATCTCAATGGACAGTTTCATTCGGAATTGCGGTGACTCGGGATGGCCGACTTGCGGTTCTTCTGACCGACTCTTACCGCATTTCGCTCCTCTATATAATCATAAAGAATTGACCGGTGTTTATGTACTTGGAGGGTTTTCATTTCAAATTATACCAAATCTGTTATATAACAACCTTAGTGAGACTGGCAAAGCTAACGCGGAAGGTTTATATGTTATGAAATGTCCTCTGATGTCCAGTCCTTGTGATTAAAACCCGTTTTATTTGAAAATTTATGTGTAACGTGTTATTCCCGCAAAGAAGTAGTACGTTTTCTCAGTGTCTTAGGGTCCGCCTCTGTACAGGGCGCCTCTTTATCAAATGTCCATCGAGTCTGTCACGTCAAGAAACCTGCTCAATTGAGACAACTTGGAATTTAGTCGGAGCTGGACTGGTCCATCTCTGATCCATCAATATTCCTTGGGACCCCATCAGGCCACATTCTTGAAACTTAGGGATTCCCCCACACAATATTTCTATTGTCTATGACCACTCGGAATGGTCTGTGAAGTTTGAGTTTTTCTATTATTTTGTTTGAGTTATAGTCATTTCATTTATATACACCTTACAGAATTTTGTAGTGGCTTCTTTCTTTGGCCTGGTTGGATTGGGTAGATTCAACCTCGGAACATAGTTGGAAGGAGTAGAGGTTTGTCCTAGGGTGATTCCGGCCTGCTTATCGCTACGCCTACTACACCTTTGTTCCAGAAGAGTACCATGTTCGACCGTCTTCCCACCACTTGGGTAGCCTTTCTTCCACAGATCTCTGTAATCTATCACCAGTTGGAAGGATCTGTCAAAGTTGAGCTTAGTTATTTGGTATAATTGCTAACTACATATACTGAATAGTGCGTATTTAGAGATCGTGAGATGCGGTCTGGTGTGATATAGGTTTAGAGAAACCCTTTATGTTTAGTGGCCTAATTGACCAAATTATTTGTTTCAGTTAATTTATTCTTTTTATACAAGGCCTTGGTTGAAGAGAAGATGAAAATGATGGTTTAGAAAAACATTTTCTTTATCGTGCCAACGTTTCGATCATTATAGAGATCATCTTCAGGGCCTGGGATTTATAATCATTGTTAATTATACAAAAAATTGTACATTGTTCCATCATTGTGTTTAGTGGTTTAATTGACCAAATGACTTTTTCATTTAATTATTCTTTTTATGTAAGGCCTTGGTTTAGATGAAAAAGCTAGTGTCACGAGCGGGAATCGAACCCACAACCTTCGGCCCAATACGCCACTGCTCTAAACACTTTTGCTATCGTGACTAGTGGTCCTTGGACACCAACTCCCCATCTCGACCTGTCCGAGTGGATCGAAGCCACTACTAAAGTGGTTAGAGGAGCGGCGCATTGTGCCGAAGGTCGTGGGTTCGAATCCCTCTCGTGACCCTAACTGTTTCATTAATGAATAACGTAGACTTGGTCGAAAAAGATAAACTAACAGTTTTCTGTCTAGTACCCTCCCTTAGGTCTGTCAGACGTGTTACGATTTTTCGCCACCTTCAGTGATAACTATTTTTTTGAAGTTCACTTCAACCGTATTAAAATAAGATCTTTTTGCTTATCGTGTTGTGAAAAATAAAAAAATCGACCTTTTGGCTCTTCATAGTTTCAATTAATGCAAAACATGGGCTTGTATGCCGCCAGATCGGCTTCTACCCAGCATAATGCCCCCGTTAGTTTATAGTTTAAAGTTATATAATCTTGTCTTTAGTTTTTGATAGTAATTTTGTAACAGTGTTTTAGGACGTTCATTGTACTTGATAGGGTTTTGGCGTTCTGCAGAAACTATTGCTCCGTTTCACGTTGGAGTAAGCCTGTGTTCTCTATCTATGCGTGTCGTCTTTTGTTTGGAAAGTAGGCGGAGAATCCAGTCCGATTCCATTATTCGGACCCATCGGGCTCGGATGGCGCAATCTGAGTAAATCAATGTTGCATTTTAAATAAAGTAAAAAAATTAAAAAAAATGAGGAAGAAAGAGGGGGAAATTGAGACAAAAATAAACAAAAGAAAAAGAAAGAAAGAAAGACGAGCAGAAACTTACAAATAAAATTAAAAGCAAAAATTAACAAATGCTATTAAAATATTATTGGGTTGGTCCAAAAATAATGCACGTTTTGAAAAGGAAGTCAAAAATATTTTTAGTTTTTTGTAAAATAAAGTAAGTTTATTCCAAATATTTTCCATCACAATCGTAATGGACTAACGTGTAATGAGCGCTTTTATTCCGCTGGCATAAAAATCAAAAATTTCGTCTTACAATAAAGTCTTGGAAGTCGTTTTCGGCTTCCCCGCGTTCTCTAAAAATTTTATCCGTCAAGAAGTGTTCAAAATGCCTAAAAAAAGTTAAGTCTGTAGGAGATAGGTCGGGTGAATACTGAGGGTGCGGTAAGGTTTATCCTAAGCCCTTAAGTTTCCGCAGGGTTGCCATTGCGACATGTGGCTTGGCGTTAGTGAAGAAGAATCGGCCCCTGACGGTTCGCCAACGCTTGACAAAGACGTTGCTGTCTCCCGTAAATTCTGTAAAATTCTTGGCAATACTTCTCTGCTGTGATAGTTTCACCACAATTCAGGAAATTATAGCGATAAACCCCAGCAGTTCACCACCAAACAGCCACCATAACGAAGGAAGGATGAATCGACTGTCAGGACAACAGTAAGTTAGAGATCAGGGATGCGGTCATCAGAACAAGTAAGTTTTGTAACTTATGCCAAGTTATCAACCTCCATTGAGATCTTCATGAGGGCTGTACAAAGTAATTACATCGTTTATAATTAATAATTGGTTATTTGGAGATCGCGCGGTCTGGTGTGACGTAGGTTTTAGAAAAACATTTTCTTTATCGTCCCAACGTTTCGATCTTTATTGAGATCATCATCAGGGCATGGGATTTATAAACATTGTTGAATTTGTTCAAATACATGTAGGATGTGGAAAAAAATGAATTTATACAATGCTAGTAATTTTAGTTTCAATCAAAGTATTTGTTCTCACTCAAAGTGTTTGTTTTCTGGTAGATGTGTCATTCTTGTGTGTCGTGTTGGAAGTGCCAGTGAGATATTGATGTTTTATGTCTATATTCGTTGGATTTCGAAAGGGTGGGGAAGGAATTCGGGATAGAAAGACATTTTTTTATGAGGAATCGGCTCTTTTGAGGTGAAAGGAGCCGACAATGGGAAAAACGTTGGCACGATAACGAAAATGTTTTTCTAAAACCTATGTCTCACCAGACCGCATTTCACTCACACGCATCTCCAAATAATCATTGGCTAACGGTCACCAAATACCACACATTAATAATAGGTAACACAATAATTATCAGAAAACATTGGATAGCTTTCTCGTCACAAGTATTATAATCACAAGTAAAGTATTATAATAATAACAGTAAAATAACAATACTTATATATCTAACCAATTGAGAGGTAACCAATTGTGGTTATAAACACAGAATGACACTAGACAGACAGAAAGGACTAAATTAGCAACTGTAGAGGGAGGTGTTTTGTCAGCCATTCCAAATTAAAATAAATGTAGCTGTTAATCTCATTGACATGGCATTAAGATTGAGTGATATATATTTCAATAGGGATAATGAGGTGAAGATCATATCCATGTTGAACAATAAAGGTTATACAGCATCCCTAATTAAGATGTTTATTTCACAAAGAAAGTTTCCTCATCCTGACATCAGTATTAGCGTGGATGGGGTAGAGAGATTTTCTTCTTTGGTATACATTGGTGATGCTTCTAAACAGATTAAGTTTCTGTTGGAGTGCCATTTAAATAATTCAAAACTCGTTTTCAAATATAACAATAAGACGGGAAAGAAAATTCTCATAAAAATAAAGTGTTTTGATCCGCCTTTAAGATTGTCCAACGTGGTTTACTCTATCCCGTGTAAAGATGGTCAGAAACAATTCCTGGATATCAGTTTGAACCAGATATGATTGTTCTGACAACAGTAGGTCGGGAACAGCTTTGTCAAGGCATCATCATGAAATAAGTTTTAATGATGTGGACGTGGTTGACAGGGAGGAAATCTAGGAAGAAGATTATTAAAAGAAATGCATATTAAATCTGAGCCATATTTGTTTAGTGGCCTTAACTGGCCTTATTAATTATTCTTTTCATCTCAACCAAAACCCTTAGTTGAAAATTAATTTGAATAATTAAATGTCATGTTAATTCACTAAACTTGAGAACTGATATCAATAATCTACAGTTGCCTAATTTAGTCCTCTCTGTCTGTCTTGTGCTATTATGAGTCTATAACTACAATTGGTTACGTCTCATTTGGATACATTTCGTTGTTTTTATTGTTATCATTTTAATATTATGACGAGATTTAATTAAAGATGAGATGATGTATCGACCTGCTTGTTGAACGACTTGAGTAAAAGGATCTTTAGTGAGGTCACACAAGAAAGGACAAACTCTTTAAGTCTTTGCCGAGCTTCCGATAAGATGACGATATAATCGTCGAAAGCTCGGCAAAGGCTTAAAGAGTTTGTCGTTTCTGGTGTGACCTCACTGAAGATTCTTTTACTCAAGAAGTTATCCAATGTTTTCTGATAATTATTGTGTTGCCTATTATAAACGTTGCAGACCTCAATGAAGGTTGAAAGTTTGGCATAAGTAACAAAACTTACTTATTTTGATGATCTCCCTGATCTCTAACTTACTCGTGAGTCACTATAACCTTATTTGGGTACAGATTTGGCTTGAGGAAGCGTTTTGGCTCTTCATACTTGTCTATTATCGTACAGAATCCATTTCTCATCTGCACGTTATGATCGAAAAATTGATTATTTTAGCACAACAGAAGAGACGTGCAAATTTCAAAACGTCGATTTCTTTGGGCTTGGGTAAGTTTGCGGTACCAAATTTCGACCTTGTTTACTTTACCACTAAGCTCCAGATGGCGAGCAACGGTTGAGTGGTCAACCCTCAGCTCTTCCGCAATTTCCGGTGTTGTCTTACGCGAATTTTTTTCAGTTGATGTTTTGAGTTGGTTGTCGTCTACCACGACCTTCCCTGCCTTCGAGTTCATAATCTCCAAGACGAAATCTTAAAAAACACCGTGCATTCGCTAATGCTTCCCCTCAACTGTATTGATGTTGGGTTTGGGCTGCACTTTGCGCAAGTTTAAATAAGTAAAAATAAATTTGAAGAAAATCTAGTTTGGACATATTTAATTTCGCAGATCCTCACTCCTATAAAATTTAATATAAACTAAAATATTTAGTATTAAAGATAACAGTTAAAAGTATTTATTATTATAATTCATAAATTATATTTGAGGATTTAGCTTTGCTTTGTTTACATGACAAGCTCTGTGAAAATAAAACAAATTTTCAAAACCTGCATTAATTTTGTAACAGCCCAATGATTGTTGGGCGCTGTCAGGACTACCTCAATAGAATTATGGCTAATTGGTAATAACAAAGGGGAAAAAAATTATGAAAAGTTTGAAACTCGACAGGGGAAATCCACAGTGCCGGGTTTGACCTTTTTAATTGGGGTTATCCGTCAATATCCATCCTTTATTCTAATAATTAATCTTTATGTAAGGTATAAGGTATTGGTTGAAAAAAAATCAGTGTCACGAGCGGGATTCGAACCCATGACCTTGGCTAAATACGCCGCTGCTCTACCACTTGAGCTATCGTGGTAAAGTGCTAGAACAGCGGCGTATTTCGCCGAAGGTCGTGGGTTCGAATCCCGCTCGTGACACTGACTTTTTTTCAACCAATACCTTACATAAAGATTAATTAATTGAAAGAAGTTATTTGGTGAATCGTACCACGAAATATAATGGCATTAATCTTTTATTTGATCTGAGGCAATTTTCTTTATCAAAATTGATGCGGATTGTTTTAATTAAAATGACAAACATATTGGAAAAACTAATTTGAAAATAGTAACGTCGATCGTGTTCTTAAAAATACTAATCTATTAGTCAATAAAAATGTCTTTTGCTAATGTCGTACATTAAAGCGATCTGATCAACATTGATCAGTCATTTTCGACCTGCGTGTTTCTATATTTGTCCTGTTCGTCCACTTTTGTTCCTTTTTGAAGGTTTCTTTGTGTACGTGAGCCTGCCTTGATGGTGCATGCATGTTGTGTACGCGTGCTTTGCCCTCTCTATCTTTCTCTTTCTATGTACGTGGTCGTATGGAAGTGCAATCAATTAATGCGTCATGTAGGTGAAGAAAGTTCAAGGCTTTGCGAATTGCAAAACGGAAAAAACTTTCAACCTCAGTACGATCGCACCAGATGATCACAATTAAGACCAGAAGAAGGCATATGTAAGCATAAAGTTTTATTAATCTTTATGTAAGATATTGGTTGAGATAAAAAGTCAGTGCCATGAGCGGGATTCGAACCCACGACTTTCGGCTAAATACGCCGCCGCTGTACCACTTGAGCTATCGTGTCTTCGATACTCTCGGACTTCCCATCTCAACCCAACCTTCCGAATTTTCCCTTCTTTTTGCCATTTTTCAACTTTGCTATTTTGATTGTTTTATCTCAACCGATACCTTACATAAATATTAATTAATTGAAAGATGTTATTTGGTCAATCGGACCATGAAATCTAATGAATTTAATTAAGTTTTATGTTAAACTTTTAAGAAAGGTTTTTCAAGAGGAATCTATCATAATTATAAATGGCGTACTCCATGGTATGCTGGAAAATTCATTGAGGGAATTTCTGTTGAGAAAAGTGTGCCGGGGTTTCCGCAGATACGGGGCGAATAAGGCGAATCATAACCCCCTGTGCTTATGTGCCTTCCGGCCACTTTTCGTCCTGGAATTGTAGCCCAGCGGCTCGGACTTTAGTACCTTGCCAGGGGTAGATAACAAAGTGCCTGGCTTTGCCCTTGTCTACCCTCGGGGAGGTCCCTTCTAAAAGATTAGCTCTCGAGTTAACCAGAGACCGCCGGGGTCGGTGAAAAGAAAAAAAAATTCAATTTTCACAGGGCTGGATCTTATTTAGAAAAGTCGCGTTTTAACCGAGGTACACAAAGGTTTTACGCCGTTTTTCTTTCGGATGTGAACAAACAATCGCATTGTGGCGTTGTTTTGGACGGGGTGGTTCTGCCCTAGTGGCCTTTTCCTTTCTTTTAAGAAACCCTAAATTTATGATGAATAAAGTTGTTCTATTTTTTTTTTAATTTATTTAACAGACGTCTGTCTTTAAATGTAAAATAGAGTCGAAAGTTGAAAAACAGACATATAATGCAATTTTTTTAAAAGTTGTTGAATGTTTAACAAACTCTTTCCTGACGAAGACATTTGCTATTTTTGTTGTTTAGACTGAGAAACCAGTTGTCCAATGAAAAGTGACAATCAACTCGAATCACGTGAAAGATTGGCTTTCTAACGGGATTCGGCAATTTTCGATTTGTCTTTTAATAATCCCGGAGGCGGCCGACAAATTTCACTGACGATGTCGTTACAGTCGAACGTAAGATACTGTTATAATAAAAATCACGAATATGTTTATGTTTCCCCGATTGTACGCGTTTTTGTTTTAGTATGTCATGCTCAGTTGTTGTTGATTTTGTGTAAAGTCACGTAATTTTTCAAAAACAGCTAAAAAGAATTGTGATCTTATCATCAAATTACAATTTTAACGATTAAATTGATGGTTTGGATTTATGTTTTGAGAATTAAGAATTGGAAGAATTCTTTTCAATAGTAGTTTTCCTAAAATTTTACCCAAAATAAATGAATGTTTTCACCACTTTTGGTTTTAATTTTGTATATATTACGTTGCCCACTATTATTTGTTACCTACTTGAAAGTAGTAAGTAATGTTCTTCAAATTATATATATAAAAAATATGTATAAAAAAAGAAGATTAAAAAGCTATACATGCATATATTGCAGATCTTTGTGTTGTTGAATTTTTTTTTACACAACTGCATACAAAATATACACATTTCTAAATTTTTGTTTGATATGAAAGAACGGACTCTTTTACCCTGCATGGAAATTACCTAATTACTTCCGATGTACTTTGCAAACTTTTCTCAAATGGCCATAATATTTTAACCTCAATATACAGTGCCAACCTATGGTACTACTTCCTTCTCTTATGGAACTATTCCATCGTCAAACTCTTACCTAAAACTCCATCTTCCTGTGATGACAAAAATGCCCGAAAGACACCTGTTGAAACGTTTTTAGATTCAGATAAAATCATTTCTTCCGACTCCATCATGTCCTCTCGTCTCTAGGGAATAAAGTGTATTGACTGACCCTTCAGAGTGAGGGCGAATACAAGCCGGTATCTCACAAGGGAGCGTTCTTGGTCCCATCCTTAATTCCATTTATACTGACTCTCCTATACATCCCCGCCATCATTATCTCCTGTGGCATCGCAATTCTGTCTTTTAACCAAAATGCAACTTAGCAACTTCCAACATCCCAGAACGCGTTGAGTTTATTAAAAGACTTGTGCCCAAAATCACCAAATTGAATGGGGAAAAATATACTCAGTACACCGAAAAAAGCTTCCTCTCCACTGTACATCGATTAAGACCATACTTAAACTGACGTGGAACATATTATGAAACAACATAATGGAAGACTTGAAATTATCTTGACCATCATCTCAACTAACTCTACACAAGACTGGTACAATCTGGCCGAACCATTACCAACACATTGTTTCCCTTCGTCGGCTCTTTTCACCTCAAAGAAGCCGACGCCTTATACAAAATTGTCTTTTATATACCGACTTCCTTACCCACCCCTTCAAAACCCAACGTATATAAACATGAAGCAGCAAAATCTCACTGGCACTCTCGACACGACACGCAAGAATGGCACAATTACACAGAAGACAAACACTTTGAGTGAGTAGAAATATTTTGATTGAATATAAAAAATATATTTTGCATTGTATAAATTCACCATTCCACATCCTAAATGTATTTGTTAAATGTAAACAATGTTTGTAAAACCCAGGCCCTGAAGATGATCTCAATAAAGATCGAAACGTTGGCACGACAAAGAAAATGTTTTTTTTGAAACCTACATCACACCAGACCGCATCTCACGATTTCTGAATAATAATCTACACAAGACTATCACTCAAGGTGTATATTTTGGACCATGCCTAGAAAGCAGATTGAGTGGAATCTCTACACTAGACTTAAAAGACAACTTAACAAAAGACTTGATCCTCCACGAAAACTGTTAAGACGTAAATCTGTTTTGACCGTCAGAACAGAACTGACACTATAGAAAACATCGACCATTTTGGACATTTTTAGCGGAATTGGATTTCGACGAAGCTATCCAGTATCCAGCGCATCCAATATTTCTGAAATGTTATCAGATAAATTGTCAAAGCCCCTTACTATGTCAACTCACTATCTAAAACGACTTAAACAATCTTGTCCTCCTGATGCATCTCGATCGACTAGTAGTGTTCATCCAAACCTTTAGGGTTTTTGCACTAAAAGATCACCTAATTTCAACCAGCCTCATATAACAAATAGGTTCGCATGCTTGTGCGAATGGCTCTCTTTGAGTGCTAGTGAAGACGACATGGAATTTAGACACAATTTTTACAGCTCATCCGAAACTCTTTCAGTTCGAGAATCCTCACCCTCCTAGAAAGGTTGAAGATTTTACTCAGGTCTCCAGCGTTAGCTAAGTTGAGGACGATGTTGAGACACGAAAGAAGAAAAATGTACCCAGTATTGCCCAGCACTGTACGTCAATAAGGAGCTACGGATTTTCACTCGAGTTCGATGCTTAGCCGACAGACAGCGTATTACACAAGACAGGCAATTTAATAGAAAACGCAGAAAACAAAGAAGACTGTTAGGATCGAAATTTGTTTTGAACATCAAAACTCAACCTACACCTGGCCATTCAGGACGTGCAGCATAGATCAACCAACTACTTACTATGTCACTATCTACAACGACTCAATATTCTTTTTGTCAACGAACTGATCCGATCCCGCTTCCAAAAATTTCCATGCGAAGCTCTCGATTCTCCCTTACCCCAAGAACCTCAAGATTTCCTCGCCGCTTGACGAAACGGGTTTAATCCTGTTTTCAATGTTAGGAGTATCGACCTCTTTTTCACTCATACTCTGAATCAACTTATGGTCTCGAGAAAAAAATCAAATTCATTTGTTACTGACAAACTTTCGACCTATTTTAAAATCATCATCAGGACAAAACAATCTTAAATATGTATAAATATTTAAGTTTTTTAAAGGCGATCTTTAATTTCTTTGAAGACCCACTCAGTTCTAACGTAGCCAAGAAAATTAATCTTGAAAGAAAATTAAGATCGCATTTAAAAAACTTAAATATGTCTATCTGTAGGCGTACTTAAGATTGTTTTGCCCTGATGATAACGTTAAAATAGGTCGAAAGCTTGGCAATGACGACTAAATGTGATTTTTCTGAGACCATACTTTGATCCAGAGGGCTCGGGGTTTCTCTTCACATATGTCCTCCGGGACCGCCATAAAAAACTTCTTTTGTTCTCTATTCTTTAAGAAAGATTGCCTCAAACGAGGGATTTTATCTCTTTTCAAATACATATGTCAGTAGAAAACCTCCAGTGAATTGAACTACATTGAATAATATATTATTTGTCTTGAGTGTATTTTATACTCCTTGGAGAGTTTAATTTGTAAGATTTCATTTTTATATATGTTTTTCGATTTTTGTATTAATGTTTTATTTTTGTTGCATCGGAGGCATACCTGTAAATGTGGTCTTTATAGTTTTGTTTTTTTTAAATAATTTATTTGTTGATTGTGTATATTAGTACATATTTTTATTCTTTTTTCTCACAATCACATCACTGACACAATGGCCAGCAATGCACCAGGAGGACGGATTTTAAGAGATTAAGTAGGCGTCTGTATTTTCGTAATTTTAGTTGAGTTCTTGTGTTAGAAGAACTTGTTTTAGTTTAGGGTTTGGCGTTCTATGTACGTCCAAGTAGAACCGGTCGCGGATTTGGTTGGATGTTGGGATTACCTTAATGTGCACTGGTGGACAAGTGCTTCTCTGAACGTGACGGCTGTAAACTGTGCAGAGGATTGGGCCTAGGAGATCCCCTTGCCGAACGCCGTCCTTGATTTTTGAAAATTCAGTGCCAATTTTCACCTTAAACCAGGGAACCGTGGGAAACAACAGGATGAGGTAGAAGGTGAAAGGAAGAAAAGTTTTTAATACGAAAATGAGACAAAAATGCCTTTGTGACATCGAGAAAAACTACTGAGCAAAAACTTTTTTTTCCTCTAGGGCAAGTATAGCGCCGATTACTGGAACTTTGCTAGACAGTAATATAATCTAAAACCAAATCGAATGGGGATGTCATGAATAGAGCTGAATAAAATATATAGCACAAAAATCTTGCTGTGATGTTCATATTTTTAGGTTTGGTAAAAAAAATGGTTAATTAACTGCTTATTAGTCTGTAAATATGTTGGTAGTAAACAAAAGGAAACTGATTAATCTTTTATGAATTATAGAGATAGTTCATAACTGGTTGACAATCCATCCCTCTTTATAATTAATTAAAAATTCATCCTGTTAAACCGATGGCGAATTGAGAATCCGTAATTACTTCAAGGATTGATTTCACCGAGTTGAACATAGTTCGTTCATCCTTCAAGTTAAATATCTCCCTGCGAGGTATTACGTCCCGGTGTTATCCATTCCTAGGGGTGTCTTCCATTAATATTCCATCTCCATATCTGGGTCAATCAGTAGGGTTCTTCGAGCTAGAATGGAATTTATTGCCTTTGGGGAGGATTCAATTCTGAAAGTATAAATAATCTAATCCGAAGGGGTCAAAATTCGACCCGATGAATGACGACGGTTCGAGATCAGGGATGCGCATTTGCGTACAATCGAATAAGGGGCACAAGGGGCTTTTTTTCACGTGCTTGCCTTACAAGGTTCGCCAGTATTTTTATGCCGAGAGAGAAAAATCAAATTATGAAATACACATCAAGTTATTGATCCGGAATTGCAGGCGGATGGCTTAATTTGCTAGAATGCAATCGTGGAACTTCACATATTCCGTAAATGGGACATTGCACCGAAATAATACAAAGTTCAGTTGTGTTTAAAAAAACCGACAGGACAAAACTGTAAACTGAACATAATAAACTTTTCATTCTGCAAGCGTAAAATATTGACACTGTGGCGGAGTGCTTTCGACCTCTTGTCTTCATAGTGTCACACAGAGTGGATGTAAGTAAAAGGATCCTTTGGACGCCAATATAGACAACAAAAACGAATCCTTTTTGAAGGGGCGTACAATATCGGACGCATTGTTGTTGCGATGCCTGGAAAACGGTCCAGTGAATCAAACAATCAAGTGTAATGAAAGACCTAAACTACCTTTTTAAACCGGGAAATAGAAGAAAGGTATGGGAAAGAGAAAAGAGAAAAGCTAGAAAATTATTAAAGGCACTCCCTGACACGGTAATCCCACGGAACGAACTAGCTACTACCCAAGCCTAGAAGCTGATAATTTAGTTTTTCTACTCCTCTACGAAATATTTACAC